ACTTCCTGCCGGAGACAAACCCTGCCAAAAAACTTTCGGTGACGTTTCCTTCTCCCAAAAGGTGATGCGGCCCAGGGCAGGGGTTGGGCCACTGGCTACAGAGAAATGTAATGTTTGCACAGAAATGGAGAACATCTCCTTCCTTCTGGTGTCTGCCCCTGTTCGGCAAGGATATTCTGCTGCACAAGTGAAACAGCTCGATGTAAAGGCTGTGGTAAAATCTTGAGCGACCTTCTTCTCGTGTGGCAACAAGGGGGTTTTGCTATTAATTTCAGTGCAGCCGGGATTTTCTCGAAAAGGAAAAGATGCTCTAGTTTTGGGACACTTTGTGCAGTGAGAATGCAAATGACTGTAACTGGCATTATGATCCTAATTAGCTCTTGTGATGACATTAAGACAAATGCTTGGTAATTCTGCCTTCAGAAATGAGGTAATGCAAACTAAGGAAGAAACTCAGCCTGTTCTCCCCCTCCCTGCCATGTTCCCCGTGTTTGCTGAGTCCGATTTTGCCCAACGGAGGCCAGGTTTTAACGAGTTACTCTCATGGGTCTGCCTCGCTATTTAACGCGGCAGAATTGCAAACCATATCGATGAAAATCTGCTAAGCTATTTTCAACTGCTCGTGGAATGGGACCCTGCTGTGCTGCTCGAGTACAATAATTCTGCCCAGCTCCTCCCCTCTCAGGAGCCAGTTATGGATTTGGACTATCATTACATCCCCCAGGCCACTAGCCATGTTAATTTAATTTAAGGAAGGCTACAAATAGGTCAGAAGAACCTAGGGGAATTAGCTGTTCAAATGAAAATGGAAATCAATTGGGAGCTACGGTCTCACAGTTGTTGGAAGCTTTCTCCTGGTCCTGCCCGGCGAGCCCTCTAACCTTTGAATCAGCTTTCTGAATCTCTCTGAATCTTCCTAAAAGCGACGTCATCTTTCAGATGATGTAATCTGTGGCCAGTAACAGACCTGAGAAGATGCATTTCCTCCATTCTGAAACTTTTATGTAATATGGAAACTCGAGGGGGAAAAAGGACAGTATCTGGGAAGGTTTGCACGTTTTCATTGAAGTAATAGTCTGAAAATGACACAATTGTCCTTTCTTCAGGTTTCAGCTGCCAAAATAGGAAAGTACACCTTTCTTTTTGACAAAAATCTTTGCAAAATCCTCTCATTTCTGACAATCTCTTATTATTGTGATATATATCAAAACCAGTTAGATGCTTTCCTTCCCACCATAGTCTTTCGCATAAGATTCTGAAAACAAAATGTTTTGGTTAGCATTGCCTATGTGCTACATGAAAACCAATTTCCAGGAGCAGGATATTACTGTTGTGCCAATAAATGTTCCTTGTCCGTAAGTCACAATAGTTTGATCTTAAATATAGGTTACTGCAGCCTGGCACCAAACACAGGGCAGATGTGCACAAAACAGGGAAAGCTCAGCAAATTGCTCTTAAGGAAAAAAAAAATCAATTTTCCTATGAAAACCTAAAGGGATTTTTTTTTTTGTTTGTTTGACACTCGCAGTCTGCGCTGCCTTTTGAATGGGTATATGGGTTACAGGGCATTATTCTGCTTTATTATTTCTTCTGGGTGACCTTGGGATAAGGTCTGTAGGATATTACCGTTCAGTCTGCTTTCTCTGAACAGTTTCTCAGGGATGACACCGCGAAGGCCCAGCTCCCTGTGCCAGGGAGCTGCAGCGTGCCCCTCTTTTCACATGGCCCAGAACCACAAACCTGCCTGGATACCCTGATTAGCTGCTGGGGTGGGCCAAAGGCCGAGGTGGGCAGAGTTCCCCTGGGGTGCCACCAAGCCTGGCAGCATGAAGCAGGGTTAGGCTGGGTGTGCACAAGCAGCAAGTACTGCCTTCTGCAGCCTCTTCCGTTTTTTTTTGCTGCTGTATCCCAAGCTCATGTTGCTCCTTGCTGCAGCACAGCCACTTTCCCAACCACTCCGGAAAGCGCAGGGGTCACCTGTAATCTTGTCACCTCTTGTTGGGCCACCTCTGGACTACTCCCATGGCTGCAACTGAGGCATGACAGGAGTACCTGTGTTTGTTCTCACCCTGCCAGCACAGCTCCAGACCCAGACTACGTTGGCTGCCCTGGATTTCTGCTAATGCACCTGGAAACTACCAGACACCAAAGCTTATAATAAGGCGATGAGCAGGCATGCTAGGCTTAGCCAGTGCAAGCATGCCTTCCTCCACTGCAGTCCAACTTCTGACTGCAGGACAGATACGGGCAGACACTTCAGAAAGACTCTATTTATATTCTGCCCTACTGGTAAATTCATTCCTTGGACCACTCATGCAAAATGGATAATGCAAATAAACTGCTACATTTGGAATTAAGCTTATTTTTTTACTCCAGTGAACATGAGCGCAATGAATTTTCTTTTCTTTTTTTTTTTTTTTTTCTTTCTTTTTTCCCTTCTTTAGTGTGTTTGCCGAGCTGCAGGCCCCAAAGCACTTGGTTCAGGTCTGGGGGAGGATGTCACAGCAATCTGCTGCTGAGACAGAATGGCGCAGGCACTTCAAACCACTGGCTCTCGAGCCCACAGACTCATGACTAGCATTGATCTGGAACTGATGAGTGGCTGGCTGTTTTACAGCATTGCAGCCCTAGAGAAGGCTGCTCCCTCCTCACTGCAGGGTGAGTGATAAATTCATGCAGAGCATAGCCAATTGCAGGGGGAGAAACAGAAAGGCTCTCTCAACTCAGGAAGTGACCACTCATCCCTGTACTCACTCAGAGTGACACTAATGCACAGATGCAATGTTCACATAGGAGGCAGAGCAAGGAGACTGACATCTCTGCGCACACTGCATCCTCCTCCCCTCCTCGAACAGGACTCGGCGTCTCAGCAGTAGGTACAAGCGAGGAGCTAAGTTCCCCGTGGCAGCAGTGATTGCTCCAAGAACTGTCAGCGTGGTTCCAGGGAGCACAACAGCTTCCTCCCACACAGAGATGAAGCAGCACTTCTCTTACCCATCTCCTTGGTGCTTTGTAGCATGCACTGCACCGACGGCAAGGGATTGCCCCTTCTCTCTGCTTCTCTCCCTCATTCAAGAAGGTGGAAAACCTCCTAGTGCCACACTCTCTCTGGGAAACTGCTGCTTGGGTCGAGCCCTGTTTGAAAAAAGACTATCGTGTTTGCTCTGCTGGGCTCTGCAATGCATAACAGAGTCTGCATTGCAGTCTCCAACTGCAATCCAACACCATCTGTCCCTTCCACTTGCAGCACTGCATCACTCCAGGGAGTCTGCTTTTCAGGAGGGATCCAGAGCGTGCCCAGCTATGCTGTCCCCTGGTGCCCAGCACAGCCAGCAGAAGGGCAGAATGCCCCACCCCAATCTGCAGTACGAGACTGGAACCACCACGGGCTGCTCAGTGAAACCCTGTGAGAAGCAAGACAGGGAGAGGATGCTGAATTGCTTCCTGTTCACTATGTTTTTAAAAGAAAATCAGTGCACTTAACAGCAATTATATTTAACTCCTCTTCAACCACCTTATGGAAAGGAAGTCAAGTAGCAGAGGTGCGCAAGTGCTGAGCCCTACACCCCCATGACTATGGAAATCAGCATCAAGGAGCTACGTTGGCATCAACCTAAGACGCCAACTCCCTTTTCCTGAGTGTCAGAGAAGCAAGGCAATCAGGGGACAAGACAAGAGACCTGGAGATACTTCATTGCTCAGCCCTGTCTCCGAGCTACTGAGCCACACCAGGAAAGACATTTCTGCTTTATTGGTCTCCATCTCTCAGTGCACATCCCGTCTGTCTGTGCTATGAAGCAAAGTAACCTAGTAGTGAATTCTTCAGGGCTGTAGCTGTCTCTCCCTATGCATCTGTACAGCACCTAGCACAATGTCATCCCAAACTTCAGCAAGGCGTTGTGCTCTGCTCTAAGTGAAACATTCACAAATCATAAGGCTATGAAGATGAAGCCCGAGATTTGTAAGGTATGCACCAATGCTCTCCCTCTGAGCCCGTGATGCTGGGAGGAGGAAGCAGTTCACCTCTGTCGTGAATTAGTGTTCTGACAGCTCGGTGCAATCTAGCCATGACTTGCATGGCTGCTTTCCCTTCACATTCCCAGGAGCACACTCTGCATTAGATCATGTTCTGCATCAGCCTCTGCTCCAAAGCAGAGGAGAAGGAATGGGGAAGAAGATGAAATTGCCTTGACCAGCTTTCATTGTCCTGAAAATATGCTACTGACATGTGGAGAAAGCTGCAGGGAGCTTTCTCTCTGCTTTGGAGAGCACAGAGACAGGAAAAAATAACTAATTTTCGAGCTACTTGTAAGGTTGTGGCTTCACTCACAGTAAGCCTGACAACTCGCCCTGCACATTGCAGCTCCCCTGAGAACAGCACAGGATACTGGGGCTCTTGCTTTTCACCAGACCATTATGTTTTTAAACGGACCCTATTTGTCTGCAAAATGTTCTTCTTTCCTCTTCCCCTTAACATCATGTCAGAGAATTTAGAAAGCAAAAAGGTTATAAATATATAACCAAGCCATTTATTCAGGAGCTAAGCATGTAGAAGTTGCTTGGGTAAATAAATGCCGCAGGTTCTGCAAATCAGCTGTCTCTAGACCCTTCCTCTGCACCATCTCTGGACCCCCTGGGGCTCTGAGAGGGCAAGACCACACTGTCTGCATAACTGCTCCCCGCACAGACAGCTCTGGCTTCACACTGCCTGCAGCAGACCCAAGTGCACTTGCTCCCCACTTAACCCATGCATCCCCTCCCCAGAGCACACGCAGTACGACCCTGAAGGAGATAGCAGAGTCTCAAGTGACTGTGCAACAGCAAGCTGACGGCCCTCTTGGGAACCTGCTAAAAGCAAAGCATTACACTCAAGACACAATCTTTAGCATTCGCACTGGAATAAAGTGGGAGAATGGGCATTCAATCCAAGCACTGTTGTGTAATACCAGCATAAGCGGAGAAAAGATTTAGGATGCAAGTGCACCGCAGGCTCTGCTCACCTCCTCCCACTGATGAATGTAGCGGATGAGCCGGGAGAGCCGCAGGAGCCGCAGGAGGCTGAGGATCTTAGTGAAGCGCACGATGCGCAGCGCCCGGGCTGTCTTGTACACTTCAGAGTCAATGCGGGTTTCAACAATCAGGAAGATGTAGTCAACGGGGATGGAGGAGATAAAATCCACCACAAACCAGCTCTTCAGGTACTTCATCTTGATCCGCTGTGGGTCTAGGATGATTTCCGTGTTGTCCTCCACCACGATGCCTGTTCGGAAGTTGAGGACAAGGTCGATGAGGAAGAACGTGTCCGAAACCACATTGAAGACAATCCACGGGGTAGTGTTTTCATCCTTGAAGAAAGTGATGCCCACAGGGATGATGATCAGGTTCCCTACCATCAGCAGCAGCATGGTCAAATCCCAATAAAACCTGGACAGCAAGACAGAGACACGTGAGATCAGCTATGGAGTGGGAGACCAGGGAGTCCACATCAACAGAAGTGATATGCTTTATACATCTCTCCTGTCACTCGTTACCTAAGCTTTGCTAGGCTGCCTGATGTTTTCCCAATGCACAAGCGGCTAACATAATTAAGTGCTTAATAGCACAGGGGCACTCATCTTCGGGCTGAGAGGGTTCAGAGAGGAATTGAGTATGTGGCTGGACGTGCTCCCTGGAAAACTTTGACTGGGCCTTCAGGGCCACCAAGAAGACAGAGGTATTTGAAGTTACTGCAGTGACTGCTATGAAAAGGGACAGAACAAGTATCTGGAAGGGCTCAGAGTCAGCACATCAATAAAGCCATTTGGGGTCACAGTCATCAGGCTTGCTCCTACTGTCTGATCCTCCTTTGCAAGCAGCCAGCACTGGTAGCATTGGGATCAGGACAGAACTAGGAACGGCCGTGTTTGGTTTAGCTCTCTTGTTGAACCAAGCTTACACTGAGCCTGCACTTGGTTCACACTCTATAGACTCCTCTGCTGTACAGAAATGATCAATAAAGCTCAGAGTCATGCGCCTGGAAATTATCTATTTCATTTCTAAAGTAAGCAACAACAACATTTAACTACTGTGTCATAAAGCACAGTCTCCAAGAAACTTATCTTCACTTCAGCGACAAGTCAATATTATCCAGCAGGCCTTACAACAACACTCGTTTTCATTCTTGAAGGCACACACAGCCTAAATACAGTTCCTAATTTATTTGTTTGGGCTTTTTAAAGATTTTCCCCAGGTTCTAGTGCAAACAATACACAGTCACATGATGATGCTGCGACTTAACCAGGGTGAGGACTGAATTTTTTTCTGAATCTCATACTTTGATGAGGAGTCTCACAAAGGACCCTCAGTGCCCAACACTGGTGCTCCAATCCCCGCCAAATGTTTCACTCGTAGAGATGTCAATGCGCTGTAGTCTCACAATACCAAGATTTCATCAGCTCTACATCGTATACTACAGGGCTGTTACTGTTACACTGTGAGGTATCATAAATAATTTACATCCGCATGCACTTGTCACAGCAAATGGACAAAGTGCACAGAACAAACCGATTATCGGCTTCGGTTGCTTATACCTGAAGATGAGGCATTCAGAAAGCTGCTGTGGCTCTTCTAGTCCGTCACACCAATTAGCACAGTGTTTATATTCTTCTTATTATTAACCTCTTGAGTACCAAATAAACCTAACTCCCTTGACTATAAAAAGGCAACAGAAAACTAACAGGACTCAAACAGAAGGGAGAGAATTGTGCCTTCCTTTAAAGCAGATCACCACAATACCAGTGACGTCAATGGAGTGACTCTGGATTCCCAATGATGCAGTGAAGGAAACTGCTGGGTTTGCCAAAAAAGGGCATCCCCATGCTGCTTGTCCATCTGTCTGACCAACTACAGTCAAAATCATGGAAATGTTTTAGAAAAAAAATGGATTTGCCTCAAAGTTCCTCAAAATCTAGGTTTGGTAAGAATTGTTCTGCCCAAGCCCGTGCTGCAGACCAGACTGAGCTGCTGCAGAACAATGTCGCTGTAGTGAAGCACCTCATGGATCTGTTAAACTCTCAGCAGCAAAATCAAAGGGTAGAAGATGACTCAAAAGCCCTGCCTGCGCAGATTCTCTCTCCTTGGTGAGAACCTAACACTCTGAAGCACCTCTGAACATACGATCCCAGCCATTACACATGGACAGACAGGGCCACAAACCAGCAGCCCGCAATTCTCAGAAACATTCAGCAGAGGCTGATGGCAACCGGCTTTTTTGTAAGCCAAGTTATCCACTAACGAGGTTTCTGAAACCATCTCCTTGTTCTCAAGGTGCCATGCCCCTGCAGGCAAAGTATCATAGTACAGAAGTACAGGAGGTGCTGGTAGACACTCAGCCATGAGATAGGTCCATGTGCTTCTGAGAGCAAGGCTCTGTCAGACAACAATATGCATTAATACTTTATAAATCCATGTTGCAGTCTTCCTTATTAAGGGCCTGAGATGATGCTGCATCTTTCCTAGTCAATTAATCTAGATAATCGCACAATAGCAGGAAGTCTGGAAGCAGTGTGTACGTTATTACTGAAAATAAATAACCTCCCAGCCATCTTTAATTTGCCTACAGGGGATACAGGAGGAAATATGCACAAAGAAAATTATTTTTCCCAAGTTTCAAATTAATGGCATGAGACAGATGTGGCCAGACACGCACAGATGCAAAGGTAAGTGGCTTTCCTCAGAGATCTTTGGATTTTCCTGCCTCTTATGTCTGCATTAGCTGGTGATTTCAGTACTAAGCGGCAAGTGGGGACGATGACTGCGTTGGCCAGGACTGCTCACCGTTCCAGTGAGCTCTACACACACAACCCCAGTAAAATGCTTTCTGTCTGACTGCTGCCCTGGTCTCTTGTAGTCAGGCACGGTCATACCACAGTCAGTTGTCCTGCATCCTGAGCTGCAAGGTGGTGTGCACAGTATTCCAGCACAGCCAATTCACCTGCCTTTACAACATGAACTTCCTAGAAGTTAAAATTTAACTCTTAGGATTCCACAGTTCCTGCACATTGAATCGACATGGAAGTACGATCTGCTCAGGGTGGCATTGGTGGATTTACACTGAACAGATTCTCAGGGACTGTAGCACCTCAGAGGTCTAGTACCATCCATGTGTCATTTTGTATTTACACTGAGGAACACTTTTCACTCCCTGTAAATTATCGGCCAGAATGAGTAACAGTGCATGCGATGTATGTAAGGGCAAGCACCAGCTATTAATAACCCATGTTTTCTGTATTTCTGCGCTTCCTTTCACCCAGGGATTCCACAGAGCTGACGGTGATGAAATTGGCTCCGCTGCACCCATGAGAGGCAGAGTTATTATCCCTGTCTTGCCAAAAGAGAAGCCACGTGGCAAAATTGAGAGAATGGGATTTGTCCACTGAAGTCTGAGGCTAAGCAAGGGCTACAACCTGAACTTGATTCTTGAGTCTCACCAGACTGGAAATTATTCTTATGGCTTGACAAAGGGTCTAACAGAGATTTGTATCATTGGCGTCTTTCTCTGATATCCTGTCTCCTCTCCTCTCTTCCTATTTTCAAGAGCCTACATAAAAAATTAATAAATATGAATGTATTGTTTTATTATAGCTGACTTAGTGCAACTGAGTAGCTCCCAGCATGGGGAACAGCCAGCACTACATAAAACAGATGCCTTGTTCGAACACACTTGGTTTCAGTACTACATCCTAGTTCTATGCCACTTCTTGGAGCTGAAAATCACATTTTACCATGCACTGCTACCTTTGAATGGTTAATTCCAAATATATTATTTAGTTCTAACAGAATGTGTATGAGAATTAGTGTGAGCAAAAACAATTCAAGAGTATATGCTTGTTGAACATATTTGGTGTCATGCAGTTCATTTGATACAAGGAACGCTTCATAGGTACTAGTTTGTGGGCTTTGACGAGCAAGTTGGATCAGCTTTCCATTCTGTCTAGTGCATAATTTAACAGCAGGCAAGGAATGTGGCTTTCAGATGTAATTTTTCTGTTAAATAAACCTTGATCTTTCAAAACAATTCTATGGTGCAGTATAACCATTTCTAGTGCATGAGCTCAGGAGGGATAGTGAGCACTGGACTGAAAATAACAAACTGCAGGGGTCAGCCTGGTCAGCATCGCTGCGTCAGTCCTGCATTCACGAACCGCTCCTGAACAGGGCACATTTGTGGCCTTAACTTCTGTTCTCCTTGCTTGGTAGCACTTGCACTGTCAAGAGAAAATAGACTTGGGCAACCTCACCTCTAAATTAACAAAGCTTTTTGGATGTTTTCAGCTTCTGCTGTAAGGCAGCCAACTCGGGGTTGAGCTGAGGAGCTGCCTGACAGTGCACAGAAAGGAAGCAAAAATAAAAAGGCATCTAACTACAAATGCCAGGGAGCCAGGATATCCTCACCGGTGATGAATTTAGCTCAGACACCGTGTCAAACCTTCCTAACCTTACAAGAGCACATCTTTAATGAACATATCCCGCTAATACCAAAACCAAAGACAAATCCAATTGCTCTACCAAGCCCAGGCAGGCGCAGTGCCTCAGTGCTGACTCAAGAAACAGAGTGCCACCTACTGAGTCACCAAAGCCATCTCGATCCTCCGCTTTGCATGGGGAGGAATGGCCGTGGTATTTCTTTAAAGAGCTGATGAAAATCTGCCCTCTTCTGCAGAGTGGCAGCTCCCTTCCCCCTCCGGACTGCATGTTGAATTATACACTGCTGTGCTCACCAGCAACTATCCTGACAGGAAAGAGGCCACACTTTAATTCCCAGGGCTGCTAGTCAGGCTAGAAATAGAAATCATCTTTTGTAAAGAGCATTAGCGGATGTCAGCGTGGCTGGTGGGAGGAAAGTGTACTCCAGAAAGCAGCCATTCACATAGGTAACAGCACAGACGGGAGAGGGGAAAGCAAAAGGAGCTGGAAGAGCTCCTTCCCTGTCTCTGGAAGCATTACTTCTTCCAGATACGAGTAGGCGTATTTCTACTGGAGAGTTACAAAGTTTGCATTATTCACAGAGATAATAGCAAGAATGTGGTGATTCATTGCTCCTAAACACACCAAAGGATACTTAACCAGCTACTGAGTCCAAGAATTCACTTGCTAGAAGTGAATTTATTTATAGTGATTTATTCAAATACCTGTGCACTTGAAAACCTCTTTGAAATGAATACCCACCAAAAAAAAAAAATCAAATTACTTACATAAATTGTCTGTGTGCTGTATAATGGGAAACGAGAAGGGGAACCTATTTAAAGAGTAAGACAAACAGTTTTAATTCCTTCTGACCAACCTATGCAAATAATCTGTATCCTCTGCCATCCTGAGTAAAACCCCTGAGAGCGCCAAGAATTAGCCATGCACTAAGACAGCACGAAGGAAAGGGCTCTGCTGTG